GGGGGGTGACGGACGTGGCAGGGAGCACTTGGGGTGGGGCAAGTGAGGGAGGGGGGGGGAGGGATGTGTGAATCCCATCGTCTTTTGGCATAGCATGATGGCATTTTGGAAGAACCAGGGGGTCGTTGTATCGAGAGGAACGTGAACGGGGCCTCAGGGCGTGGGTTATCCCCCGCATCTCCTCCAATCATTTCCTGACATGCGCCGTTTTATTTTTCCTGTGGCACAATCTTCTATTCTTTCCTGTGGCACATATTTTTCCCCCCTCTTTCGTGTCAGCGACGAAGAGTTTGGGACGCGTGTCAAATACACTATTATTTGAATGGCTATAAAGTGCTGTCGGATGACAACATTCCTGTCCCTGCGGCAGGTATCCTCTGCCCTCGCGTCTCCTCCTTCTCCCGCCTATCTACTCTACCCTGGCCGCCCATTTGCGCCCTTTTCCTCCCAAACTATTTCCTTCTCTATGTGCTCTACTCTCGCCTATATTGTTGATCGCCTCTACTTTCCACCGCAAACAGTCTGCCCGGCACCCTTGTTACTATCTCGCCCTGCCCTCCCTCCTTTATCCCTCAACGCCTCCCGCATCCCTTTATTTTACCCATTGACTACCTTTACCTAGTCTGTGCCTCCAACCATCGATCCACTCTCCTCCTTCCAGCCCATAAGTCGACCCTGCATTTTCGTTTGAAAAGGGTTTTCCCCCTCCACTCCTACCTGTCGCCATACCATATGACCTCCCCCCCGGGCACCTAGTTTCACAGCCATCCCTTTCTGAATGACAATTATTCCCGGAGGATCTCTTTACCAGTCCTCTCCTAGCTATTCTGCCGGTACGCAGTCCGCAACCGCTGGACAACTTGGGGAAATATTCAAGTTTTCAAAAAGACGTTGGGCCTCGGAGGGCGACTTCCCTTCGGTAGGTAACCCGAAGAATGTCCGGGCGTTGGCGCTTGAGTTCCTGCACCGCATGCAAGGACACGCCTCGGCACACGTTTAAATTTAAATCCACCAGGCAAGGCAACCTCAAATGGCGGTTCCGACGCGGCAGCAGAGCCTGGACGGCCACGTCATCCACCCGCGGCAGTCCGTTCAAGACCAGCCGTTGAAGACGGTGGCAGGCGAGGAAAAGGGAGAGAAGGCCCTGATTGCTCACGCCCTCGCAGCCCTCCAGGTCCAAAACTTGCAGATTTCGTCCCAAAGTCTTGGCCAGAAGGAGGACGCTGCGGTCCGTGGGCCCTCGGTGCCTCCTTTTGGGCCGCCCGGGGCTGCTCGGCTTTTCCCGACCGTTACATCCGTTACTGAAACGTGGGCTGTTTGAATATCC